GCGGGGAGAATTCAAAAAAAGCTAGGGCGAAAATCGACATTCCCCTCAAAATGAAATTCAAAATCCTCCCCTTTGGATAAGAACATCCAGCTGAGTATTGCACAAAAGGCCGCCAATATCTGGAAAACAAATCATTGGACGGCTCGGATCGAAAATAATGTCCTTGTGCTCTTGCATGGAGCAATCTCCGCTTGGAAGGATGAACTCTCCATCGTCTTGTGCGCAGACTCACGTACGGAGCAGCAGGACAGCAGGTGTCCGTTGCTGCCTTGATCCTCCACGCGCTAGAGAGAGGAGGAGAGAGAGAGGAGGGAGAGAGCGTGGGGGGAGACGCGGGGTATGGAATTTCTAGCGTCTGGGTGTGGGGGATCGCGTGAGGGGAAGGGGGGTTCCTGCAAATTTGTTGTTTTGTTTTGGGGATTTCCGTCTGGGTTCGTTTATTTTTTTCTGGGTTTCATTTTTATAGGGGGGGGATCGCATGAGGGAGATGAGGGAGGGGAATGTCTTGGTCGGGTTATTTGATTTGGCTGGAGGGTAAAGTAGGATATGGGCATGAGAAGTGGGCTGGATTAGAGGAAAATGATATTGGGTTGCTGGCTCCTTTTCCATTAAAAAAATGGGCGGCCTGGGTAGAGAGGAAATAGATGTGGGCTGGAAATAGGGGAGTGGGCCTGGTAGGAACAAAAATTAAAAATGGGTTGAAGTTGGGAGTGGAGGAATTCATTTGGGCTGGGATTTAAATTAAAGGGGAACGGGTTAGGAAATAAACGATTGTGCTAATAAGAACAAAGGGAAGAGGCCCAAATTTGGTTTTTCAAAATGAATTAAAAGGGAAAATAAGTTAAATTTATATAAGCCAATTGATTTAAAACAAAACGAATTTGGTCTAAATTTATTAGCGAGCTTATTTATTTAGTAATATAATCGTAAAAAGTGATTCGACCGTATAATTATAATTTAAATTAAACTAGTTTAGTAAAATACTTAAAATATAAAATATTTTCTTGAGATGGTTTTGAATAATCATAAATTATACTAATTATATACATAATTATGCCAATATATATATATATATATATATATATATATATATATATATATATATATATATATATATATATATATATATATATTATCTAATGTTATGATAAAAGTATCCGGAGTGACAAAAGTTCATGCATTATATTCGCAAACATTATAAAACTAATTAATTTAAATTATTTAGAAAACTTACAAAGCTCGATAAGTAATTTATGCCTACGCGGGTCAAAATTTGGGTGTCAACAACTGTCCCTCATTTTACTTGGGTTGATGCAAGAAATTCGAGGAAAGTGAAATTAACCAAACCAATTTTGACCAACCCCATTCATTTTTTAGAGAAAGGAATCGACAAAGGGTTTAGGAATTATGGACGAACCGTTGAAATAGCTTTTCCTACATATCTCAGGTTATATGAGAATTCAGGCCACTTGTAGTTCAATAAGCTTGATTTACCGCATGATTTTGAATGAATCAAAAGCCACCTCGATACCGAATTATGAAGGTATCGAAATACTCGAGAACAGAATTCGAGAGCGAATGTTGGAATACAGCCGAGTTTCAACATTGAATCCGTCTGCATATCTTTAAACCTTCAGAATCAGGCTCTGTGTAGTTCGACTCGATTGGTGGAAAAGGAAATCTATTATGCTAGATAAGCTTCGGTTTTGGACAAGTTCCAAATTAACAAGTAGAAAAGGAGGCTTGTAACCTCTTAGCCATGAATGTGGCGCGCTTCACACCCATAATTAAGAACTTATACGAACATAATTTCCAAAGCTCTTGGCGTATTGTCACTCAGATTTGAAACTTGCTTCAGATAAATTGAAACTTCCGGATGCGAGACTGAAACTAATAGAACTAAAGAAAAGCCCGCATGCTTCTAGAGGTGTGTTTTGATTGTGGTGGAAGTCGTTCCTCTGCTCGCGTCCTAAGAGTTTGACATTCCTCATTGGACTCTGTCCCAGTTCGCTGCTAAGAAAAAGTTTCACGTTGTGCTGCATCTTTTTTGATGTCATCTGCACCTGTGGTTTTGGAGAATTCATCCTTTTGGATGCTCTCAACAAAGACTGAGACAACACTCGTCAGCTAAAAAAAGTAATTAGTATGGGAGCCAGTGTCTTTTTTACCGTGTCAACACTTCATTGTTCTCCTTAAATCGATGTCGACTCGGTCGGTCTGACGTCCAGCAAATAAAGCTTACGCCTTATGTTTTGCAATATAATCTTCAATGTACTCTATACTTGGTATCGAAATAAATAGATAAATGCTGATGTGATATTGATGTTTCTTCTGTCGTCGTCTTTGATGCTTTTCTTGATGTTTACATTTATCAAAAATAACAGAAAGCATTTGAGGCCGATGAATAAATGTTGCTCTTGGGATATAGAATTTCCCTTTCTTTATCAGTGTATGTCCTCTTGCATGGCATGAATATCTTCCCGCAATACGTAAATTCCTGCGAGGTATGAAATCTTCTCAGAATGCATAACTTTCAGTGAGACATAAACTCTTCTCGCGATGTATAAATTTGATGAGGTATCAAATCTTCTCGCGATATATATATTTTGATGAGGCATGGAATCTTCTCGTCGCATAACTATTGACTCGCGATGCATGATTTCTATGATGCATGATTTTCAACGAGGCATGGTTTCTTGTCGTAACGCATAAAACTTCGGCGAGGTACAAAGTCTTCCCGCGATATATAAATTTGACGAGGCATGAAATCCTCTCGCGATGCATAAATCCCAGCGAGGTATAAAGTCTTTCCACGATATATGAATTTGACGAGGCATGAAATATTATCGTGGTGCATAAGTTCCAGCGAGGTATAAAGTCTTCCCGCGATATATAAATTTGACGAGGCATGAAATCTTCTCGTGATGCATAAATTCCAACGAGGTATAAAGTCTTCCCACGCTATATAAATTTGACTAGGCATTAAATCTTCTCGTGATGCATAAATTCCAAACTCGCGATGCATGATTTCCCGCCATGCATGATTTTGGCAATGCATGATTTTCCGCAATGCATGATTTCCGCGATGAACAATTTTCCGCTATGCATGATTTTCTGCAATGCATGATTTCCGCGATGCACAATTTTTTGTGATTCATGATTTTACGTTATGTGTGATTCCCGCAATGCATAATTTCACGCGATGCATGATTTTACCTTATGCGTGATTTCTGCAATGCATGAATACTCATATCAGCTCTATTGATGATAACGGCAAGACGACCTCCAAATAATATATCAACTTGGTCGATAAATAAATAATAAGATAACTATCTCTTCTGTGTAATGCATTGTCCTGATTGACAATAATTATCCTGCTTTGATAACGCAATGCAAAGAGCGTCCTTCACGAAAATCGTGAGATCTTTGTTGAGATTCTTGTTTGATTTACTTTTGAATCTTGCTAGACATCTTTCGTAAATTTCACATTGTTGGGAATGGCTTGAAATAAACAAACAACATTCCCAAGCATCCTGACACGAACGATATGAACTGCCTCCTGCTCCTAGTAAAATTACTGATTGTGGAGATAGTTTTCTCCTCTTTGGGACATCTCCATATTCATTCGTCGGGAGAATTTGGCTGATTTCAAAGTGAAACTATAAACCTGCATCCATATTGAAATTGCAGTTTTAAAACATACTGATCTGTGTCAATTCCTTTAGTTGTTTGCTCCTTGTATGGATATCTCCGATGGATTTTCCGACTCTTGATAGATAAGAAGAAATATCTTATGCCAATACAAATGAAACATGGAAGGGAAATTTTAAGATAAATAAGAAATCTTTAAGAAATAGTATATTGAAAAACTCACTACCAAGTTATGTCATATCAGGCATAACGAGCTCCTTTGAATCTGGAACCCGAAAGGTCTATCTGATCATTCGCTGATGGGTTTCAAAGTCACGCCGAACTTGTAGGGAAGATTATAACAAAATTTTGAGGCCATTTCGCTGATGGGTTTCAAAGTCACGCCGAACTTGTAGGGAAGATTATAACAAAATTTTGAGGCCATTTTAAAAATTTCTGTCCAAGTTTACCGTCTTGTTTATATTTCCATTGTAAATGAACAGATCGCGAGATTTTTGAAATCTTCTAAAAAATTCTGTCCCAGTTGCAGATCTTAAAACGTATTTGGTTTGACCTACTGAAGGGGAAATTTATTCTAGAGAATTTTAAAGTCCCTCTCAAAAATTTTGTCCCAGTTTCACTGCAAGAAGGAGTGAACTTATGGTAAATATGACCGAACCCTTGTGGTGCCTACGTATCCCGTTGAGGCAGAAATCAAGTCAAACGTAGTTCCCCTTAAAGGTTAACAAAACAAAATTTACAAAGAAACTGACCGAGGCCAACAAAGACCGCCTACATATCCCATTCTCGAGAATTCAGGTCGAACGTCGTTTCAGATACAAAGATATAATTACAGGGGGTAAATGGGGTGACCGAAGCCGACATAGGCCGCCTACGTATCTCGTTCTCAAAAATTCAGGTCAGACATAGTTCGTTTCAAGAGGGATAATAATTCAAATTTAACAAATACAAGAAAATAGAACGATTACAAGTAAATAAAAGAAAAATGCAAAAATGAAACTTCACGCATAGTATCTCTTGACATCATTTAAGTTGATAGGTTTCGGCCATACATCGCCATCCATCTCTCACAGGACCAAAGCACCTCCAAATAATAGTTTACGAACCATGTAAGGGCCCTGCCAGTTTGGCGCTAACTTTCCTTTCTACTCGTCTTGATGAGGAAAAATACACTTAAGAACCAACTGACCAAATTCAAAATATCTAGCTCTTACTCTTTTGTTAAAGGCGCAAGTCATTCTATGTCTATACAACTGGCCATGGCAAACGACAATCATTCTCTTCTCATCAATCAAAGCTAGTTGATCAATCTGTTTGGTAACCCATTCGGCATTACTTAATTCATCTTCTTAGATGATCCTCAATGACGGTATCTCAATTTCAACAGGCACGACTGCCTCCGTTTCATATACTAGCAAGTATGGAGTAGCCCCAGTCAATGTTCTGACCATCGTTAGATAACCTAGTAGAGCATATGGCAACATTTCATGCCACCCTCGCTGGTTGTCAATCATTTTCCTCAAAATCTTTTTGCTATTCTTGTTGGCGTCCTCTACAGCTCCGTTCATTTGGAGGCGATCAGTAGTTGACTTTCGATGAATAATCTTAAATTGCTCACATATCTCTTTCATTAAATGACTGTTGAGATTTTCACCGTTATCATTAATGATGTATTCTTCAATTCCAAATCTGCATATCAGATTGTTGCGGACAAAATTGGCCACCACTTTATTGGTTACCGACTTGTAAGAGGCTGCTTCCACCCACTTGGTGAAATATTCAATGGCAACCAAAATGAATCTGTGTCCATTGGTAGATGTCGGCTCAATAGGATCGATGACATCCCATCCCCAAGCTACAAATGGCAATGGTGAACTTTTAGCGTTAAGTTCGTGAGGTGGCACCCGTATCAAATCGTTGTGCACTTGACATTTGTGGAATTTTTGTACGAATTTGCAACAGTCACTCTCCATAGTTATCAAGAAATAATCGGCTCGAAGAACCTTTCTTGCCAAAGTAAGCCCATTCATATGTGTACCACAAATTCCAGCATGTATATGTTCAATAAGCCTTACTGCTTCAGCAGCATCCATGCATCTTTAAATATCCAAATCTGGATTCCTCCTATACAGGACATCTCCATTTAGAAAGAAATTGAGAGCCATACGATGTATCGACTTCTTCTGATTAGATGTAGCGTCTTCAGGATATATCCCAGACTCTAAGTACCTCTTTATACCAAAATATCCAGCCAAACCGTCTGGTTCTGATTCAACATGTGAACAATGGACTTAATGTTCCTTCAACTATATATCCAGCGGGTCGATGTAATCAATATCCGGATGTTTGATCATCGAAGTGATGGTGGCAAGAGCATCAGCTTACTCATTCTGTACTTTGGGAGTATGTTTGAACTTGATCATGCGAATCCTTTTACACAGATTTTGCACATATTGTACGTAAGGTATAATCTTGGGGTCTTTACAGCCCATTCGCCTTGAACCTAGTGAATCAAAAGGTTCGAGTCTCCAATAACCAGTAACTCGTAAACATTCATATCGATGGCTATTTTCAAACAAAGAATACAAGCTTCGTATTTGGCCATGTTGTTTGTGCAATTGAATCGTAGTTTTGGGGCCATAGGATAATGCTGACCAGATTCTGATACTAAGACTGCTCCAATACCTTTACCTTGGTGATTCTCCTCTCCGTCAAAAAATAGTCTCCAACCTGGATACGCTTCAGATATATTTTCACCCACAAATGACACTTATTCATCGTGAAAATATGTCTTGAGTGGTTCATATTCTTCGTCAATGGGATTTTGTGCAAAATGATCAGCAAAGGCTTGTGCCTTTATTGCCTTCTGAGTCACATATACGATATCGAACTCACTCAAAAGCATTTTTCATTTAGCTAACTTTCTAGTCACCATCGCTTTCTGGAAAATATACTTCAATGGATCCATTCTGGAAATGATATATGTAGTATAAGAAGACAAATAGTGTCTCAGTTTCTGGGCAAGCCACGTCAGAGCACAACATGTTCTCTCCAATAACATGTAATGAGACTCGTACGGAGTAAATATCTTGCTTATGTAGTAGATAGCCTTTTCCTTCTTTCCTGTCTCGTCTTGTTGACCAAGCACATATCCAAAGGCACTATCCGAAACAAAAAATACAACAACAAAGGACTCCCTTCTCGTGGAGGAACCAATAGTGGTGGGTTAGACAAATAGCTCTTGATAGCGTCGAAAGCACTTTGGCATTCCTCAGTCCACTTAGTCGGGGCGTCTTTCTTCAGCAACTTGAAAATAGGCTTATATCCTACTGTTGATTGTGCTATAAACCGACTAATATAGTTTAACCTTCCTAATAAACTCATCACCTCTTTTCTCGTTTTCGACAGAGGTAACTCTTGAATTGCCTTAATCTTGGAGGAGTCAAGCAAAATACCCCTTCTGCTGATTATATATCCCAACAACTTCCCAGCTGGGACTCCAAAAGAGCATTTGGCGGGATTTAGCTTCAAGTTGTACCGACGCAAACGTTGAAAGAATTTTCTCAGGTGTGTAAAATGATCCGAACTCTCGCGGGACTTGATTATGACATCGTCCACGTACAGTTCAATTTTCTTATGAATCATGTCATGGAAAATAGTCGTCATGGCTCTCATGTAAGTGGCACCGGTGTTTTTGAGGCCGAACGACATCACCCTGTAGTGATATACACCTCAAGGTGTGATGAAAGCCGTTTTTCCAGCGTATTCTTCATCCATCAAAATTTGGTGATAACCTGTGTAACAGTCCACAAATGACTGCACCGCATGTTTGGCACAGTTGTCAGTCAAAATATGAATGTTTGGCAAACCAAAATTATCCGTTGGACTAGCCTTGTTGAGATCTCTATAATCAACACAATCCTGATTTCCCCATCCTTCTTGGCGACCGGAACGACATTGCCCAACAAGGTTGGATATTGCATTACTTCCACCAATCGAGACTCTATTTGTTTGGTGATTTCTTCCTTAATCTTCAAACTCAGTTCAGGCTTGAATTTTTGAGTCTTTTGTTTCACCGGCTCGAACCCTAACTTCATAGGTAGCTTATGAGATAAGACGTCAGTACTCAACCCCTGCATGTCACCGACTTCCTAAACAAACACATGAACTGTATTCGGCAAGCAAATGAATCAGGCTCTCCTTCTGAGCTCCATTCAGGTATGTGCTGATTTTAACCTCTTTGACACATTCTGAATCTCCCAAATTCACCGTTTCCATCTCCTCCATATTCGGTTTATGCTGATTCTCGAATTGTCAAAATTCCTCAACAACATAATCTGGTTCCCAATTTTCTTCTTCATAGTCGTCTACCTTGTCTTCATATGTCTCATTTTGTTCATTTAGCTCATGAAATGACATGACATTGGCACGTCTGTAACTTATGTTACTGAAATCATAAACAGACAAAATTATGAATGTAAAGTATAACAATCAACTAAATAAGAAAACTTAAAAATAAGGAGGCTTTCATTTAAAACAAAATGCAAACTTTGGTCATGGCGCAGGGACATGTCGCTTTTTTAAACATCACGACAAAAATTCAAAATTTGAACAATTAAGAAAAATGCTGAAATGTGGGTATCAGGCCTCTTCCGGACAACCACCGATTTAAGTAAGCATAAAATAACTTCTTTCTACCAAAGAGTTTGGGACATCAGGATTGGCGTGGAAGTACAATTCTGCAGCATCTCCCCTGGTTCAGCATCACGAATACCAGCTGGCTCGACCTCTTCCTTGATAATAGCATTGATCTCCTCGAAGAGGTCACATATTCATTCCCCACAGTCTTCAGGCTCAGCATACTCACGGACTGGAAAAGATTGATACAGATGCGGGATCGGTTTAGCCAACTCTTGATCCTTTTTCTTCTTCATCTTCACATCGTCATCTCTGGGGGTATACCCCAAACCATATTTGAATCCTTTAGTAAGGACTGGAACAGGTTCGATAATCCCTTGGGAATTTCTTCCCAATCCGAGACCTGGTTCAAACCCATTCTGTAGCATAACCGTGGCGATCATTCTGTCCACGGACGGCATGGGAGTCTGCGGGGCAAAATCCTCATCGGTGGAATTTACCAACTCCACCGTGTAAAAATCAGAACCTTGCGGCGTGTCATCAAAGACCGGCACCTGCTTGCCTGAGTGACTTCTTTTACCATGAATAACTATCTCCTCATTTTTCCATACAAGCTTCATCATTTGATGAAGGGTAGAGGGGACAGCTCTAGCCATGTGAATGAACGGCCTTACCAAAAGAAGGTTATAGCTGGTGTCAATATTCAACGCTTGGAACTTCGCGTTGAACTCCGCGGGGCCAATTTGGAGGGTCAAGTACACCGCCCCTAATGTGTCTCTTTGGACACCATCAAACACTATTACATTAACCTGGTTTTCCTCCAATTTTCCAAGGTCGAACCTCAGCTGTTTCAATGTTGACAACGGGCATATGTTCAGACCAGATCCATCGTCTACCAAAACATGATTGACGACCTTTCCTCGGCATATCACAGTGACTTATAGAGCTTTGTTATGGGATCTCCCTTCGGCTGGCAATTCATCATCGCAGAAGCTGATGAAGTTTCCTAGAATGACTTGAAGAATCATGGCAGCTACATTATCGCTTCTTGTACCTGAGGGCACGTACGTGTCATCCAGAGATTTCATCAAAGCCTGTCTGTGGGACCAAGAGCTCATCAGTAGGGCCCACACAGAGATCTGAGCCGGAGTCTTCTCCAAGTGTTTGACAATGGAGTAATCTTTAGGTTGCATTCTCCTCAAGAACTCCTCGGCTTATGCTTCATTTATTGGTCTCTTGGCATGCTTTTTTTTGTCCTCCGAGAGAAAGCTCATCAGCAGTGTAACATCTTCCGGATATAGTCAAGCCTTGGGCCACAGCCGTTTCTATGACAAACCTGGGTTTGGTGAGAGTTTTTTAGGGTACCAAGGAAACATCCTTCATAGGTGTCAGAATAACAAACTCTCCATTTTTTTTACGCTTAAACAAGCGACATCCTTTTCCAAGTCTTCCTGCATAACAGGAGTAATCCTCTTGATTTCACACTCATCTTTGTTTGTTTCTAACATGTTGATGTTTCCACCCCCATGATTCTGTAACAGATTTCTATTAACGTTCGGGGTCGCAAGCTAGATAAAGACCGCTTGCTGGTCGATCAGATCCTGGATCTTGTGCTTCAGATTGATACAGCCTTCTGTGTCATTTCCAAGACTGTTGGAATGATAAGCACATCTCTGCTCCGGTTTGTAGAATTTAGAGTTTACATCCACGGGCTTGGGCCCCACCGGGTGGATGTATCCAGCCACGGATAGTCTTTCGAATAGCTTCGTCCAGCTTTCTGCCAGCGCGGTAATAAAGTTTCTCAAAGGCCTCTTCTCAAACATGGGACGAAAAGGATCATACCCACTTTGCCGAGGGGGAGGAACCTGTTTATAATTGCGAGCATTTGGGCGAGGAGCTTAGGTTCTAGGGTAGGGATTTTTCTTGTAATTTGGCACTGGATCTTGGTAATTCGGGAGGGGGATTTGATATGCTGGAGCTTGGACATGATATGTGGGGAAAGGTTCTCGATAGCTCGACTATACATTAGCAAAGCTGGGAGCGATATTCTGATAAGAGGGTGGAATTTGATAAGCTTGGGGGTAATTTGGGTACATGGAGGGAAAATTTTTGAGATTTGGGGGTGGATTTTGATACGACAGAATTTGGGCATCTGGATAAGTGGGGGCAGTGTTGTAGTTGCTGGAATGATTGGATTGTGGACGATAGGCTTGGTGAGAATTTCGTGGAGGGTTGGAGCGGTCTTGAGGACGTGATAAGTTTCTGGAGACTTTCTTCCCCCGTATGAAACAACGACAACCTCCTCTATTCTTCCTCATCAGTCCGGAAGATCCAGGCGATGCTGATACTCGGGCTATCTTCCCCGACTTTAGACCGTCTTCGATAGTCTAGCCAACTTTGACTATCTCAGTGAATTTGGCTCCGATTAAAAAAATGGTTTTGTCATAGTATTCGG